CTATCTATGGCCTTCAAAAAGTTGACGACTCTACATGTTACAACTCCTGAGGATGACGTTGTAACGTCGAAACATGTAGATAATTTAGACTCTAGAGTCCGAAAAACGAGTATTAGCTAACTGTTTTTGTTTGTTCTTTGGTTTACTGATAGCTTTCGTGTGCAATATATTTTTCGTTATTGACAAGTTTCTTAATAACTTAAGATTTCGGCCTGGCATGGCCAGGTGCTTAGGGCGCTCAACTCGCAATCTGCGGGTTCGAATCCCCGTCTCACCAAACATGCTCGATCTTTCAGCCGTAGAGGCGTTATAAGGTTTCGGTTAATCCCACTATTCGTTGGTAAAAGAGAAGCTCAAGAGTTGGCGGTGGGTGGTGATGACTAGCTGCCTTCCCTCTAGTCTTCCACTGCTAAATTAGGGACGGCTAGTGCAGGTAGCCCTCGTGTAGCTTTGCGCGAAATTAAAAGCAACAACAAATAGTTTGTTTGGTGTGTTACGATAGCGAGATCTTGATAGTTTTGAAAATCTTCCCCAAAATTAAGAAGCGCCCCCACATGTAATTATTAGTACATAACCAATTATAGCATTAAAACTTATCGTTTCTTTAGTGCAAAGCTAAATAACGGACTATCTGCACTCCATCCACCACGAGGGAATCAAACCCCGGATTTGTCCGTTGTAAGTCCGTAAAATTACCGCTAATATAATTGGGGGAGGGACAATATTAAACAAGTAAACTGTGGTTCTAAGTACAGATCCATTTTATTAACTAATTACTGTTTATGAGTGATGTTTATGAAAACTAGCTGGTGAATAATATATGAATGTGTTACTTGTTTAAAATACAGTACAGAATTTCTCGTATGATAAAAAGTCGTATCTAATTTGCAACCAGAAAGGTACAACGATTTGTTTGAATTCACAAGAGGTTTGATTAGTTTTGTATATATATATATAGCCATTAAGAGTTATCACAGTTTGTGTAACTATTTCTAAGGATTAAAGAAATCAGTAATGCTGGAATTATTATCTTCCAATAAAAATAACGTGGAGTTAGCCAATTTAAGAAATAAAAATAAAAGGGCAAAAAGAAAGCGCTTACGAAATTTAAAATGTTCTGTTATTCTTCTTTTTTGTAAAGTTATAATCTTCTTGACAGTACGAATTCAGTAAAATGGGAATACTGGTTTACGACAGTTTACTAAATCCTTATGTCTAAACAAACGGCATGGCTCATGGAATATACATTTACTTTCTACTCAGTAGAGAGGCCCCCACATATGGGAGGAGGAATTCAAAACAAGACGGAATCCTTAATAGCTGCAGCACTTGAAATTATTTTAGGCAGGATTAGAGTAAATTAATTTATGATATATTTCCCCTTTTTATTAACTATATATATATATTTTTTTTGCGCTAGCAATACCAACCGTGGGGCGCTCGTATACCTGATTCGAAATTATCAATTATCAGGATCTCTACCAACCTATCCTTAAATTGAAATCGTTTTAGGCAGGATTAGAGTAAATTAATTTATGAGACCTTGAGTGTGGTCGAAATACATTAATCGAAAGGGTCGACCTCCTGAGTCCAAAACTGTAATTAAATTTCAAATAGGTCAAGAGATGATAGAGCTATGAGCTAAAAGTTTGTGTTAAAAAACTCGGATTCACTCTTAGAGCCACTATGTCGTGGCTAAAAATCCTAAAATTTAAAAGAAATTCGTGTTTTGAAAACATTTGGTGGACATAGTACAGATGGGCCATTGTGTAGCTTTCCGCTTAACAACAAACCAACAACAATAATTGTTTTGAACGACTTTTTACATATTTATTCCAATGTTTATGAAAACTCTTGCAGCCAATCCTAAGAGCCTCTCAAACCTTCTTGACCCGCAATTTTGAGCCCCAGTTTAAAAATCTAAATAAATGTGTTTATTTTGAACGATCCACTATTTACCCATGCCAATTTTCATGAATATCCGTGGATCCTGACCTTGGAGTTTCTAAACCCCAAACCGTCTGGGAGCTCAAATTTAAAAAAGTGGGAGTCAAGAACATACATGTAAAATTTAAGTCTTCTTGATAGCAGTTGGAAAAATCAAGTAAACGAAGATATATACAGTTGAAAATTACCATTTAGATTCAACGATAGAACAAATTTAACTCGAGAAAAATGGACAATGATTTGTTTCATTACGTAAATTATCTGAAATCTAAATTATTAAATGTTAATACGACCTGTATTTAAGACGAGTATTTAGAAATAAGTTTATAAAATTTTCATTGTAGTAAAGTACCTCTTGTGTTAGCCATATTTGTCCCCCGAAAAACAAAATAAATCGTTTGTTTTTGAATTTCGCGCTAAGCTACACAAGGATTATCTGTGCTAGTAGTCCCTAATTTAGTAGGGTAAGACTAGAGCTTGGGCTACTCGTTTACCAATGAATAGTGGAATTGACCGTCACGATATAACGCCCCCACGACTGAAAGGACGAGGATTTGGACCCGCGACTCGCCGATTGTGAGTCGAGCTCCCTAACCACTTGGCCATGCCGGGCTAACAAAATAAAAAAAAACTCCAGTAAACGTATACATCCAAATAATTTAAACGTATAACTTTTAGAAAAAAATCCAAAGCGAATAAACTTTAAGGTATATAACACTACTGGTGTCTATAAGCTTCAATATCAATATTATAAATTGCCCTTTGGTCTTCTTTATTCAATTTAAATTCTAAACTTTCCGGTTTTAGCGAATCGATAAAACGTAATTTAATTTTAAATTTAGCCGGTAAACAAACATACGAGGCTGTAAACTATCATAGAATTCTTTTCTACCGTTATCACTAACTTAACACTTCTTTGATTTTCTTTCAGTGAATATGGTAGTAACAAAAGACATATTTCCTGGCTCTGTGTACCCGATTTCTCAGGAGAATGCTCCCCTATATTTTAACATAAAAGAAAGCTTTGAAGGAGACGAGAAGGTAAGATAATATGTCTATCTGTTTTGTTTTATAATGATTATTTTTGCAAGACTTCGCAAAAAAAGAAGAAAAGAAACATGAACTGTACGTAATATCGTTTTAAATTTTAATATTATATATATTCTGATTATGTTGTTAATGCAGGAGTATTTTGTCAACAATGCCAAGATCGTGGAAGAGAGAGACTTTACGGTTGCCGACGGTAAACAAAAACTGTACGTAATAGACGAGGTCCTGGAGCCCTACAGATCAACAGAGTATCACCCACATGATGCTTGGGAATTTCTCAAAAATCCAAGTCTGTACAACATCAAAGAAGAACTAAGGTTAGTGGAATCTTTACTCTAGGTTTAACAACTTTTAATAACAAAACAAATCTGGGACGGTGGTTTATGGAGCTTGAAAACGATATTTGTATAAGTACAATGAAACGCAGCGTAGATTCGTTGGACTTGTTTTTTTTGTGAGGTTAATTTATTATCACGAACACAGTAGTGCCTTTAGGCACAGTAATGAGTAAAAGTGGTAGTTAAAAGTGTAGCAACAAGTCACGAAAATACCAATCAGCAATGGATTTCTTAATTGATATTTTTGTATTTGTTTCGCATAAGCTGTATCAGAATTGACCAAGAATGATTGTCAGACTTTTTATTACGAAAATGCTAAATGATCGGAAAATTAATGATAGTGATAGAAATGGTCTAACTTTTGTAAATATTCTAGCGAAATGGTATCACGCATAGAACAAGAGAAGGAAGAGAATCTTTTTACCAAAGTTGGAAATCACACTTATTTTATACAATGAAAAATGATAGAGAATGGTTTAACTTTTTTAAATATTCTAGCGAAATGGTATCACGCATAGAACAAGAGAAGGAAGAGAATCTTTTTACCAAAGTTGGAAATCACACTTATTTTATACCAGTTGATCAGGAAAATGGTCCAGATGGTAGCAAGTTCAGACGTATTGACAAAGCTGTGAGTGTATTTTTTTTTGTATAGCGATGTTAATGTTATTATATAATTGCAGATGTTAGATGATTCTTGAGAGTTAAAGAGTTTTGATATATTTCACCAAACACCTGATACAATGTACTCAGCATGGTTTGACAGAGTCACTGGAATTAATTATTTTTAATATTGTATGAAACATGAGTAAATAGTAATGTGACGTCACATTAATAAAGTGATTTACTTTCAGTATGAAAATATTCCTGATCCTCATCTAATCCTCAGTTTATACACGCTTGCAAAATTTCAACTAACGTTAATCAAATGTTGTTTTACAAAAACAACAACATTGCAATATTGAGATTTCCGTGTAGACTAATCTAGTTTCATAAATGCAGTTATCTAAATGGATGGCTGAAGAACATACAATTAGAAATGTTATAGCAAAATCGAAGACAGAAAAGTTGTTACATTGTCAGCGTGATTATACTTTCAGGCCTCTTGTTTAATGTTAACAAATGCCACTGTTGTCCTTTGGTTAACATTTTAAACATCACATGTGTAATTAATGACACGTTTCAGTTTTGTGTCACCTCATTTTAAAATTATCATTGTGGTCATGCTCCAAGTCTTCCAGCTTAGTGTAACCTAATTTTAACATTATCAATGTGGTCATGTTCCAAGTCGTCCAGCTTAATGTCACCTAATTTGAACATTATCAATGTGGTCATGTTCCAAGTCTTCCAGCTTAATGTCACCTAATTTTAACACTATCAGTGTGGTCATGTTCCAAGTCTTCTAGCCTAATGTCACCTAATTTTAACACTATCAATGTGGTCATGCTCCCAGTCTTCCAGCTTAGTGTCACCTAATTTTAACGTTATTAATGTGGTCATGTTCCAAGTCTTCCAGCTTAATGTCACCTAATTTTAACACTATCAATGTGGTCATGTTCCAAGTCTTCTAGCCTAATGTCACCTAATTTTAGCACTATCAATGTGGTCAAGCTCCAAGTCTTCTAGCTTAACGTCACCTAATTTTAAAATTATCAATGTGAATACCATTGTAGTCTGTGACAACGATCTTAATTTCACTTTTTGAGGTCAAAATCTTATGTTTTCACCTTTTGATATTACACCATTTCGAACTTTAGGTGATCAAGGGTCATATCATTCCTCAACACGTCTTGTTTACTCGAACGGCAGGGAGTGAGGCCTACATATCTAGTAACTCTCAAGTGGAGATTAAACTTTTCAACCAGACCACCTCTTCGACAAATGTTCAAACAAGTAAATATCTAGATGTATATTTGTTTTTTTTTCTCTTTGTTGGGTCTTCCACCAACTCATCTTTTATTATACGGAATGTTAAGATATAAATTAATAATTTCATTTCATGTAAATTCCACGTTTCTTCTAATTAAATTGATATTTTGAAAATATAATATATATATCTATATCAGGTTGATATTTATTGTTGTAATTAGTAATTTACTTTGGTTCTTCAGGTTTACATTGTTTTACAGTAAATTTAATGTTTTTTGATAAAATACAGATTGAATAGAATAACACGTCAAGTCCATTGTTCAATGTTTATATATTTATCTTATTAAAAATCTGTACTACGTACTTTGAAGGCTTTGATTTATTTTTATTTTGTTACGTATCATTATAGTTTTTGTAGTAAATATTTCGATTTACTTATACAAGATGTTAATATGGTTTCAGTGTATGTTCGAAGCAACACCCTACAGGATAGCCAGGATCATGAAAAAGGAGTAGTCCTGTCCAGAATTGTTCGAGCTAATATACCATTAAAGAATGGGGTGGTCCATTTGATCCAGGATCCTCTTATGATCATCGACACGAACATCGAGGAATTTATTCAGAGTGAATCTAATGGAAAACTCTCGTGAGTTACGTCACTGTAATCTGCTTGGTTGGGGAGAGGAGGGAAATGTTTTGTAATTAGTTTTTTTCGAACGTTTTTCCTGTATTAATTCTAATATGGTTAAATGATACAATAATGATATTATATATCTATCCATTCTCTCATCACGGAATATGCTCGCTCTTTCAGCCACGGAGGCGTTCTAATACGACGGTCAATCCCATTATTCGGTTTCAGTAGCTCAAGAGTTGGCGGTAGGTGATGTTGACTTGCTGCCTTTCCCCAAGTTTATCGCTTCTAAATTAGGGACGGATAGAACAGATAGCCATTGAATAGCTTTGCGCGAAATTCAACAAACAAAAGAGAAAATAAACTATCTTTCTATGTAAAACAGAATTGCCATTCTGTCTGGAGTTACAAGTTAATAGAGTTGCCCTTCTGTCTGGAGTTACAAGTTAACAGAGTTGCCCTTCTGTCTAGAGTTACAAATTAATAGAGTTGCCCTTCTGTCTGGAGTTACAAGTTAACAGAGTTGCCCTTCTGTCTAGAGTTACAAATTAATAGAGTTGCCCTTCTGTCTGGAGTTACAAGTTAACAGAGTTGCCTTTCTGTCTGGAGTTACAAGTTATAAAGGAATTCAAGTGGACCTAACCAAGGTCGAGCGTAAATGGATAAGGAAAAGGGCAAACGGTTATTTTGGTAGCCATTTAATTTTAACATCTTAATTAACTAATGCCGCCGATGAGGCCTCACCTAATAGCAAAATACGTGAAGCCGACGCCAAACCAGAGCCATTCAATGTTGTTCGTAGCAAAGGCACATTTGCATCAACTGAACAGTTCATGCACTACGTCTCAAAATACTGGGAAGGGGGAGGGGTTTGGCCCACGTCCTCACTTATAGAATTACATTTGAACTCTAGTGATTATGGGCGCCTTTCCTCCATATTTAATATGATATGATTGAATAAAATGTCGAGAACACATAAAAAATAAAATAACTGCTATTTAACTTCCATGGTTCTTGATGGCTGTAATTCTATCTAAACACCACCACCACCACCACCATCATAAAGCATCAAATAATACCATTACAAGTAACAAATGCACGTTTTACTGGCTGTGAATGTATAATTAAACAAAGTGTTTTTTATGTACCGAAAATGTATTTAATTAACTCAAACTAAGTTCAGTATTAGTTGTGTTTCAGGAAATAGATATGTTTTTGCTGGATGTAATTAAAGTTGATTTGTATAGTGTAATTACTAATACATTGTTTAAGAAGATTCAACCGTAGTTTCACATTCATTTTTTTAAAGAACGTAACTCTATTGAAAACACACGTAACTGCGTTACGGGTATTATTGTAAAACATTCCCAATTGATGCAAATTTATTGTTTTATTATATATATATATATATATCCCCCCAAATCTCATTAAAACGATGCTGTTGTTTGGATTCGGAAATGGTGATGATTTGTTTTAGTTTATATTAAAGTAAATGTTATCTTCATGTTCACATCGTGGGACTAGAATTATATATATATCACTTTTTTTATATGTTGGATTTTTTATTTTATTTTAATCTTTGTGCTATTTACTCAAATCTATAAAAAATATAATTACAGGAGAACTCAATGCACCTTGATTTATGTTTTCTTGTGCTGGAGTACGGATTTTTATTGTATGATTTTTTTCTAAAATGAATGATAAATAAATTTAGAAGGGGTATATATTCGTGATATCTTTTAAATGGCTCATTTTTACACTAGGATTTCAACGTTATCAGGGCTTCTTGTAACAATGTATATCAACACAATATTATACCTGATAATATCCCTGTTTTTCTGTTATTTCAGAGAATATATGAAGCTAGTTCAGGAAGCATTACCTGAATTTCAGCAGGAACTACAAAGTGAAAGAAAAAAAACGGTCTTTGCGCCTACGAATGAAGCGATTCTACGCCTGGCACCAGAAAAACTGGCGAATTTGAAGAAAAATAAAACAGAACTTACAAAGGTAATTCACCACTAGAGTTCTGTGTAATCATATGTATTGATAGATCTGGAGGTACTTTTACCAATCCTAAACACTTAACTTGTATCCACCCTGAAACTTCTGATATTCTCATGGTTTTAGTGTCCAATAAATGCTTGTAAAAAAACAACAACAAACTAACGAATAAATTCGATTTGCAATTCTACTGTTAAAATAATGTTTTCCTTTTCAAACTCCTTTGATTACACGGTTCAATGAATTTATAAATCATTAGTGTATTAAAAACGTCAGAATTTGAAGCCCTCCCCCAGTGGCATAGCGGTATGTCTGCGGACTTACAATGCTAGAAACCAGGTATCGATACCCGTGTTGGGCAGAGCACAGATAGCCCTTTGTGCTTAATTACAAACAAATAAACAAAACAGAATTTTAAAAGACAGAGATGATCAAGTAAATGAACCACAGAACCAAAGAAGTTTGAAATATGAAGAAATAAAGAAAGAATGGGCGTTTTGTATTTATTGTATCACACATCTCGGTATGTATAGTATGTCTTGGCATGTTTTTAATTTTTGTAAATTTTTTAAGAATCAAATGTATGTTTCAATTTACAATTCTTATTATTAGGGATGGAATAACTGAACTATGTTGCCAGTGATGTGTTTGTACAATGGATAAAGTAATTCAATTCAACATGTATATTTGCTGTTTTGGACCGTAATGCAAAGAAGTACAACTTATGACAGTGGTTGTTTTATCGATTGTAATAATGGATCTATGCAGCATGCAGCATTTAACGTGAAAGTACCAAACCTTTAAGTTTTTGTCAGAAACAAATTCTATCCAAAGACAATAGCAGCCACATATCAGTGGCAAAAAATAAACAAAACATTCACCTACGTAAGTCTGGAATGATATACTGTTACTTTAGGTGTAATTCACTTAAAATCCCCATATTTGTATCAAATCAATCAATACTACGTTTTTACGCTTACAATATACCACATTAACATTTGAGCCCACACGTAAGCTGAGCGGTAAGTCCAGCACATAGTCGTTAAACCTACAGTGAACATGTCAGTTATTGAATGTGAAAGTTTTACCGATAAAGATAGACAATATAAATGCTAGTCAGCAACGCAATAAAAAAGCTTCAAACTGCAATCAATATTAGTATTTTGAAGCTTTATTAATCAAAAATAATAGAAACCATAAACGTTTACCCTAACAATTGTATGTCGATATATTAACTAAAAAGATCACTTTTAATATATCAATGTCATTGTTTTCTAGTTACTCAGACTCCATATGGTCATGAAATCTGTATCCACTGACGACGTATGGCAGGGGCGTATTTATGACGTAATTACTGCAGATAAGCAACGTAACATGTATTTTCGTGCTGTTGGTGACCGAAAGAATAAAAGTGAGTGTCATTGCTGTTTGTATTTATAATACCAAAGCTATGAATTAGTTCATTCAAAACGTTAGAAATGTTTACATTGTTAGAGTGTGTGTTTTGTTATAGCAAAGCCACATCGGGCTATCTGCTGTGTCTACCGAGGGGAATCGAACCCCTGATTTTAGCGTTGTAAATTTGGAGACTTACCGCTGTCCCACCGGCGGGACCTGTTGTTAGAAATACAGCATTGCACAGGTAACACTGTACTTACATTGCTGTAGAAAGCAATTTTGGAGTGGTCAGGTCGTTGCTACGTTGCCATTTGTAGGGGTATGGGGGTGTGTCCCCCAGAAAAATTTAGAAAATTTAATGCTTTGAGATTGAAACTTGAGCCATTTTAACTACATATACTGCATAAACACAACGTAATATATTGATCTTCAAGAATCAATTTTTAATAAATAAGTTGTAGTTATACATGCCAAGAAAAAGTGGCCAGGGCATGGCCTGACTGGCTTTACCGCTTCTTACGGCCCTGACTTAATACAGAAATTCAGCAATGAACACGAGATATTGAATTTAAGTTTATAGACGCTTAATTGTCTGATGCCACGATGGATAAGTTTTACATTGTCTTGCAATAATGTTATATATATAAAGACGAAATGTGTTTTTGTTTGCACTCTAACACTATAAAATATGGGGAATGTCCTAAGGGGGTAAAAATTGAACTTAACCCTATTTTTATTTTGTAAAGCCTGTTGGTTAAACTTCCAACCTGTTGAGTCAATCTCAAACAATCGTGGCAGGTTGATGCTTTAGACAATGTTGAATATTCTAAAGGGATTCAAGGTCAAAGTATGAAAGTTGTTGGATTGTTTCTCAAACAACCATGCTTTTCTAATGGTCAATGAGATGTAGGGTGTTTTCAACGGTTGGGATCACCTCAAAATCTTTATTTGTTGGTAGTCGGAAAGCAAACTGCGAATGTGGTTTACGAAGAAGCTTTGTTATAGTTTTAAAAATTTGAGATAAAGTTTATGTTCAAGTTATTACTTTGAAATATATGATTGCTGTTAAACTTACATTGTTTTAATTAAGTTTAAACATTTCCCATCATTTGACGTTAAGACGGCTTATCGACTTCTTGAGAAGAATTCTAAGAAGAAAGTAAACCTACAGACATCGGTCTTGTTTAACAAAATATATATATATATATGTCTAATAAAAAACACCTTATGTGTGAAAAAGTGCAGCCAAAAAAAAGAAAAAAGATTGAGCGTGAGCAGGTTACTACAGACGAGCGCGCTGATTGGCCAACTCAGGGAGGGAAACGTAGAGACTATGGCGCAATCAGAGAAGATTACGTCATGGTTCCACAACATGTCACCAGAGGGTGCATTGTTAGGGATACGTTGCTAGGCTGCTATTACGGGCGGCTATAGCAGACGATGACGTCATAGTTCCACAAAGTATCACCAGAGGGCGTGTTGTTAGGGGCGCGTTGCTAGCCGTCAAGACGGATGATTACGTAATAATTCCAGAGGATGTTTTACTAGGGGCTATGACAAACTAGCATGAGGTAATAGTTCCACGAAGTGAACCAGAGTGCGGGAGATATAGTTCGATACCAGAAGGTCTGTTACTGTAGACGGATTGTGATGGATCAACGTGTTTCAACATGACTATACTTAATATAGTTAAAGTGATTCATTAGTTCTATACATTTCCTGGCCATTTATATGTAAAACATCCAGAAAAAAGATGTTTATTTAAATATCATGCAATAATTAAAACTTACTGTTTTACTCTTTATTTATAAATCAAGTGTTTTATTTCATAGATTTTCGATAAGATGATTAAAATAAAAAAAATATAGACACTTTATTTCTTTTTAATAATGTACTTATTTTCTTACAATGAAGATTTTGCAATCTGATCTACATAAAAAGGCACGTCTATTAAGGACGTATTTACATGAACATGTTTTACAACAAAATCATGAACAATCATGTTATTACTATCTTTGTTTAATCCAAATTCAGATAGAAGTTTTCATTTTGACACGTGTCGACAATGATAATAATCATGATATATACAATATTATCCACAGACGAATACACACGAACTTAGTTTATAAACACAAAACAACCATACTTTACAATAATCAGCTTAATATACACGAACTTAGTTTATAAACACAAAACAACCATACTTTACAATAATCAGCTTGATATACACGAACTTAGTTTATAAACACAAAACAACCATACTTTACAATAATCAGCTTAATCATACTTTCACATTTCCTGACCATTTATATGTAAACTGTCTTGAAAAGAATGCTTAACACTAATTCATTAGTTCTGTACATTTCCTGTCTATTTATATATAAAACATCCAGAAAAAGACGTTTATTTAAATTTCATGCTATGATTTTAAATGCCCCTTATTTTTCATTTATGGTGACTAATAACCTGCTAGAACAAGTATGTACTGCAGGCATATTACATTGGACTGTAAGTCAGTGTAAACATGTTGGATTTATAAAATGTGAAAGACAATATCTTTTATCATAAGAAATAACAATTGAAATAATTTGTCAAGAACTTTTTTATTGTTATCAAAGTCAAAACAATTATGTATTTGTGAGTTTATTATTATTTTTTAATGTTGTTTTTAGCTTTAACACTTGAGGCTGGTGGAGTCAACGCCACCGCTGTAGAGGCTGATATAGGAGCCACCAATGGCATCGTTCATGTGATTGACCGGATGTTAGGCCTACCATATCAAACTGTCATGGAGAAACTCTCTTCAGAGCCATATTTACGGTTGGAAGTGTTACAATATTTTTAAAACTTGCGTACATTTTAACAGCCAGACTGATTGAAGTGTTGTGGTATTGAATTTAAAAAAAAACGCTTCATATTATTTGATTCAAAACGTCAATAATATTTATGTTATTAATTATACTTGTCAGAAGATACTTGTATTAAGCCTATTATATTTTTTACACTACATACTTGATTCACTTCCTTAGGATTTTTCAAGACGAAAATATAGTGTATAATAATATTTCAACCACACTATGTTTACTATTTCAACTGCTGACGACGCGTTTCGCTCAATACAAAACTCATCAGGCCGGCTAGGACACAACAAACACAGCAGGGAATCAAGAATGTGGTTTGAATAAAAAGGGCCTAATACTAATATATTATGATAACTATGATTAATTGTATTGTTGAATTCCTGATAATTAAGAAATAATAACTTGTGTATTTCCAACAGTAATGTAAACAATTGTTATGGTGTCAATGCCTTTTATAAGAATGTCGAAACATGATTATTAATTATAACGCCATAACAGTTGTTTACATTATTGTTGGAAATACACAAGTTATTCTATCTTTATTATCAAGAATTCAACAATATACACAATATCAATAATATAATGTTTAGATACCACCTAAATAAAAGGCACGGTTAGTAACGTACTCTTATTTCTAACTTCAGAATTGCTTACTATACTGTACCAGACCTTCCTCACACCAATAAGTGGATTATGTCCACAGCCTGCTGTGTAAAACTGGTGGAAAAGTAAAATATTTCTTTGTGTTGTTTTAGAAGTTGACCCTAAAGAAGATCAGTAAGCCCCAATAAAACTTAAGATTTTCTTAAATAAAGAATATATATGCTTTCGGTATTTTCATAATATGGTATTCCAAGTTCCCCAAATTCTTTATATTCTTGTTCTGGTAATGCTTATATTCCAGTTTTGTGAAGAGAATTGAAAGAGGCAATACAAGTCCATGGGAAACTTACCGATAAAATATGGCTTTATGAATATATAAGATATTTGAGTACTATACACCTTTATCGTTTATGATTAGACTCTACTCGTCGTTTTCATGTAACTATCTTCTGTTGTTCCTAGGCAAACATTTGAGATGGGACGTTATGATGACTGGAACTTAAAGTTAAACAACAGAAATAAACGTTTCACTTTCTTTGCGCCGAGTCAACGAGCATGGGATGATCTCAAAAATGAAATGCCCACTGAGTATAAGCAGATGTCTATGGATTTATACAGCTACCACGTGCAGAAGGCAAGATTTTTCTTGTTGGTTGTTTGAAAATCTGACCTAAGAGTTTAAGGACTTTGATCTTCTTGTGTGTTATTTATACAGCAATGGGGCGAATTTTAACTTTACAAAGTTTTAATAGGATCTACTCTTTGTTTATTTCTTGGATGAATTTTATTAGTGTATTATCACTTTGAAACTTTGTTTATTTTAATTCGCGCAAAGCTACTCCAGGGCTATAAGCGTTAGCCGTCCCTAATTTTGAAGTGATAGACTAGAGAAAAGTCACCTGGTCAACACTATCCACCGTCAACTCTTGGGCTACTCTTTACCAATGAATAGTGGGATTGACCGTAACATTATAACGCCCACACGTCTGAAAGGGTGAACATGTTTGGGGATAGCATCTATTGCAGCATTTTAGTTAAGGTATGTATTGACAAGCATCATTAACTAGGTCATCACTTTAAAACTTTAATGGTATTGTATTTGCATCTCCGAGGCAATGGATGTATATATATTTTTAATTTCTAGAAGTTTGTGTTCGATACTGTGAAATTTCGTATATGGGGTAAAAAGAACATTACCAGAACGATTTTCAAAATATGAGCTGAGAACCTCGAAAAAAGAGTTTTGAGCACAAAGTTATCCATCTATACGTTATTTCAGGCCGCTGGTTGGCTCTGTGGCAGAGCTTTGGATTTCGAAACTGGCGATTCGGATTCGAATCCGTGTGGTATTCCCCTACACACTTTAAACTGTGGATGTTTTATAGTGACGTTCAATCCATTAGCGTAAATAGTAGGGTGGCTACCTACCCCTGGTTGGTATTCGAAAATTAGGGACGGCGGTTATTTAATTTGTCATAAATACTAAATACATATATGTTATTTCACCAATGAACAAGATAAGACTTGTATAGTGTTACGAAGAGCTGTTAACTTATCTCTCTTTTTAGTAAGACGTAGGTGTTAGCACCAAGAGCTGTTGTTGGATAAATATGGTAGCATCATGAAAGGATGTTAACTTATCCCACTTTCTAGTAAGACGTAGGTTTTAGCATCAAGAGCTGTTGGAGGTACTTACGATAGTTTTCTATTCTCAGATTTTAGATAGACACCTGATTGTTGGTAAAGAAATATCTGCTCAAGAGCTGGAAGCTAAAGACAACATCCAGATGGTTCGTGGAGTTATCAATGTGAAAAGGGGTTTAGGCACAGCTGGTAAGTATGAACAAATACGGATACTACAGTAGAAATAGTTACAAACCCATAAAACCATGTATTTAGGCATACTTGTTTGTAATTAGAACCCGTGTCTAGAACCAAATAATATTTGAAAACAGTAAATTGTAAAAATTATTTTCAAACAAATGATAAAATACTTGGATAAACATTTTTCTTCGATGAGCTTTGGCATGAACATTTCATGCAGAACATGGGGTTTCCTTCAAATTATGTCGCTAATCTATAGAAATTTATATTGTGATATTTCATAGCATAACTCACAGACAGCAAGGGACAATTTATTTCTTCTAGGCTGTCGTTGCACACCCACCCTTGGTAAAAGTAAAAATTCAAACTCGTTTGTTTAAAGAAATCGTCGATTTACCTCTTAAATTCCTGTAGAGTGCTGTCTTCTATTACTGTCGACAGTAACTCGTTCCTTAAGTCAATTATCTTTTAGAAAAATAACTCTGTCGTAACTAGAGCGTAGATTGTCTTTTACACATCTTAAATTACTGTCCCCTCGTTCTAATACTTTCAGAATATAGCGCAAAGAAATCATAGGCCATTATCCAATCGACATCTCGGATAATCTTGTAATCTCCAATAAGTATCACCTCTTACATCACATCTTTTCTCTATAAGATAACCTTCCCATTCCTGGAATCATCCTAGTAGCCCTCCTCTGAACCCTCTAAACTGTACAGTGTATCAAGAAAAACATTAAAAAATGTCACAAGCTGTTGATAAAAACGCCCCCCAGTGGCACAGCGGTATGTCTGCGGACTTACAACGCTAGAAACCGGGTTTCGATACCCGAGGTGGGCAGAGCACAGATAGCCCTTGTGTAGCTTTGTGCATAATTAAAAACAAACAAACAAACTGTTGATAAATAAAAATTAAAAAAAGTATAATTAACTAATTATTTGTACGTTTCCCTGAAAACGTACAATAAGATACTGTTTCAGTTATTATTAGTCAGACTTCGTACAATTTATCCATAAATTATAGTGAACATTAGGTTTTTTTTTTTTTAGTGCTAAGGCAACATTTTGTTCGACAACTAATTAGTGTGGGTGTAGATTTTGACTTATAGCGACTGGTCAATAGAAAAATATATTAGTTTTTATTTTTTGAAGTGTTTTTTTTCCACAAAGAATCAAACCATTCAGACTGTACTCTTATTGCCTTCTTGTTTTCTACATCAAAGAACAAAAACAGCCAGCAAGAAACCGTTTCATCCACATGAATGAACTATTCCTGTCACGTGGTGCTAGCGGTGTTGTAGTAGATTGTCTTATCACATTGTTACCTACTTATTAATGGTATACTTGCTACATATTCTGACAGATTAATCATGGTAATATTTCAGACCCTACTCTTATGTTTTTTATTTTTTTGTGGGGGAGAGGGGCAGTTGAGCTTTTGTTATCTCTTCTTGACGATTTAAAACAAAATATAACGATTTAAAAAAATTATAGTAGGATTTTTTAAACCGCTGGGGAGAATGATCTTGGGCGGGCCAGAGTAAAATATGGGAATTCAAGGCCCACCCCAGCACACTCTAGCGGGGACCCTGTACTATTTAGATAGCAGGTCACTAAGAACAGAAAATATCTAGCAATAATGCAATGGTGATAAAAGCTAACTATGTCAGTATTTTGTGCATGGGCGAAATTCCCAATGAAGATTATCCACAATTGTTTATTGATATTTCATTCACGAAACGTATGAACAATTATCATGAGTAAATTATTTTCCAGGAATAAAGAGTATAGAGAAATAACATTAATTTTTGAGAAGAACATGGAAAAATAAAACGTTTCTGTGGTAATGTACTTAACTGTCAACAGATAACGCTTTATTCGTCTCTAGAGAAATCGTTATTTAGCACAAATATTGGTTGAAAATTGATATGTGTCTTTTTATTCGATTTGAAACTTGGGTGGAATTTAAGCGTTAAAGAGAGCACAGCAAAATGAGAATTAATGCACATATATGTGTTATAGACAGCACTATATAGCACTGTGTAAACTTAATGTGTTATAACACTATAGGAAGAATGCACCGTGTAAACTTGGTGTGCTATAACACTATATGAATCGTGCACCATGTAAACTTGGGGTGTTATAACACTATAGGAAACATGTGCCGTGTAGATTTGATGTATTATAACACTATAGGAAACATGCACCATGTACATTTAGTATGTTATAACACTATAGGAAACATGCACCGTGTACATTTGGTGTGTTTTAACACTATAGGAAGCGTGTACCATGTAAATTTAGGTTGTTATGACACTATATGAATCGTGCACTAAGTAAACTTGGGGTGTTATAACACTATAGGAAGCATGCACCGTGTAGATTTTGTGTATTGTAACACTATAGGAAGCGTTTACCGTGTAAACTTGGGGTGCTGTAACTGTAAACTTCTCTTTCTTTCTTTGATTTTGTGATATATGTGTAATTCTAGATAAGTCATCGCAGTTTTTGAATTCTTAACCTACTAGAACATTATCAGGGGCGTAACCAGCTCTACAAAGTGGAAGGGGAGGTCTTTTTACGAAAAAAATGTGATATTTTTCTTCTGCATAGAGAATGTGTGTGATTTACATGAAAGTAAAGTTTTGTTAAAAAATTAAGAAAACCATGAACGTTTTAGAATATGGTGGGTAGTTATTCGACTCTCACTGGCTACGCCCCTGATGTCGTGTTAGATTAACAACCAACTCGAAGTATCATCTAATTTATCATTTTATTTTGTATATATTTGAATAGGGCTGTAACTGATGTACTTATTATTTTTATCTAGTCTTATCTGTAGAATGGGAAGGTATTCAAGCAGTCATCATCCGCCCAGATGTACAAGCAACTAATGGTGTCATTCACGTGATCGACCGTATCCTCATGAAACGTCGCGATATGATGCGGACAGGGGGCGCTTCTTCTAACTCTCCTTCTATTTTGGCAAGTCTTCTTATTGTAGTGTTGGCGTTGCTGTTCCGTTTGTAAGATGTACTGGTTTCCCCACTTCTTCCTTGTACTTGGCTACGTCAGCGGTATGGGCCTATTTTACTCAAATATAGAATACTAGTCTCTACGGTTGTATGGTCCCCGATTGCATTTGTGGGATTTGTTTTCAACGTGAAAGTCGATATAAAAATCTTGTTTTATCATCTTATAACATATAAAGAAGGTTTAAGGAAAAACAAAGCGTGTGAAAGAAAGAACAAGCACACTCAATACGAAACCATTTCTAGTTGCTAATACTTACAATAGGTAGCTTACTGGAAAAACTGCCAGGTAGGTTAGACATTAAGTCTTATGATACGTGGCGTTTTGGTACAAAATTACATACAAGCTTAAATGCACGTTGAAACGTATAAATGAATAATAAGTGCGAGTAAAATATAAAAGTCACTAAAATAACTAATTAAGAGAAATCCAAAGATTTTTGTTTTGTTTTCTTCCCATGGTGAAAATAGAAAAACAAAGAAAAAATATAAAATTGTTGCACAGTTCATTAAATATGTTCCAAAAAAAACAAAAAAAAACACAACAAGTATATATTTAAAAAATAAATCGTTTGCTTTAGATGTAAGACTTTTCCAATATTTTAGATAAAAATATGTGAACAATCGTTTTCTAGAAACAGGAAAAGAATATGAAATTATAAAATACCGTATAAAGGTCTGTCTGTTCCTAATTCCAGATAGAGTTGAGTTTGAAAACATCGTCTGATAGTATGTAATATAAGAAAAGGTCTGAGGAGGTGATGTCTATAAGAGAAGGGTCCAGTTCTTATTAACCGTAACTTATTTTAACGTTGACATTTTGTTAGGCCGGACTGTTCGTTTCTTGCCTAATGTTAATCTGATATTTTTTATTAGTATTTAATCATTCACTCAACGAAGGCTATCCCTACACTATCTTACTAAACTTGGAAATAAAAATTACAATTCTCCACACATAAAACTGTAACAAAGAGGTGTGCGTAATTATGCCACAAAGACCGCCATTTTAAAAGTCGACGTGCATGTTGAATATGTTATATCCGAAAATTAAAATCACAAATTAAAAAAAAAAATCAGCACAAAACGTCTAAGGTTTGTGTTTGTATACAAGTAAACCCTACTGGATGTCGTTTGTTTTTGTTTGTTTGTTCGATATGACATAATACTTTATGACCACTATACCGGCTGTCTAAGCAAACAGGTACGAATTACACCTACTTTACCCAACAAACTATAAGCCGTACTTGTTAAATGTGATGTTTTTTCATCTATACTTTATCAAGAATGTATTGCTTCAGTTGGTTATTTTTAAGAGAAAAAAAACAGCTTGTTTAGACCATTAGGTTCGTAGTGTTAAGGAAAATAATTGTTTTATATTTTATACTTCTTCTAGCAATTTAAAATAGCGAGTAAGTCGCATAAAGTGTTTTTGTTGTGTATTCATAATAAAGAAATATAATATTCACTTCATTCTCTCGCAAGAATGAATGGATACCTACATTTCGTTTACCATGAAGCTGTATTAACTATATGTATTTGGTTTATTCATAACTGTTAATCTGGATAATTAGATGAGGTAGAAACCTTATCAGGTACAAAGGTTACCCTAAGAATTAAATTAGATCAGGTTGGCCAATAACATATTAACATTCTCTATTTACTCGAGACTCTACTGCTGTTATAATTCATTAAAGTTTCTCACTTAATATTGTTGGAGGCTTTTTAAATAAGCCTATAGTGGAGTTGTATATTTTATGAGGTATTACAACTATTCAGAATACTTATATACTCCGAGTTTATAAAGACGTCATAAAAAGGGGGCATATTCTCAGGTTTCAATGAATCAATATCTGTTTAAAAGTTTTCGGTCCATGAAAAACAAGTGATGTAATAATTTATTATTTTTACGAAAATGCACAGAAACACAGACTACATGCCAATTGTTGTTATTTCATTGAGAAAATAAATTCTCCGTAAATATTTAAAATTAAGAAAACAAACAAGAGATGTTTGAATTTTTTCCATTCTTTTTCGGATTCTTTACTAGTTGATTAATACCAAGAAAAAAATCAGTTAGGGTAATTTCTGATGTATCTTAAATAGCTTTAAGAATTTAAAAATACAATTCTATATATTAATAACGTAATATAATTCTGTAGGTAATCTGTCAGGTTAACGCAGACATCCCATTTTTCTCACTATTTTCCCTCTAAGCTAAAGATTATATATATATATATTAATAAATGTGCTAAAGCCGAGCTTTTGGTCCTCTGGTAATCTTAATCCTTGTAATAAAGAGATTTTAATACCAGTTGCAGAAGGAAAAAAAAATGATGAAATCCAAATTTCATTATGAATTAATTCATCGATTGATTCATCCAAATAATTTTACTCGTAGAAGTTTTAATCATAGCATTTGTTTTTGAAATCGAAAGCAGATAACAATTACCTGTTTTGGTAATGTCCAGTTGTTAACTATTAATTTTTTGAAAGTTTCCATGGGTATTTTACTAGATTATATACGAATATCGGATTGGTAAGAGTGTAAACATGTGATGTAAAAAAAAAGATCGTAATTTACAGAAGGACTCGTCATAAATTACCGATAACTAACTATACGGTAGAAATACGGTTATTAGATATATGGAAGCAGGACTTTGTTGGTGCATATAGTACAGAGAAAACCAGATTTACCGGACAAGAAATGATCTGTACAGTATGTGAACATTTTATCTTTGATCTTATTTGTGGTTTAAATGTGTTTTCTCTAACTATTAGAGAATTTTGGATCTAAGAGTACACAAAAGAGTAACTAAAATGAAACATTGTGAAAGCAGTTAATGAACATGTTAACGAATTTAGAAAATCAAACTAGTTAAGTGCTTTCGCATTAACACTTCTAGGAAGCCAAGATATTTACCGAGAGAGATTTATAGTGCTCTCATACAGAAGTTTTGGAGCGTATACAGTAGCTTGGCTTCTTGGACGTTGTACTCGTGTGATAAATGAAGGATTAGTAATATTGAAAAGAAGTTAGACACTATCCTATTTCCTGTGCTCTACCACTAGATGTCGCCTTAGCATTTAGATTCTTATTATTAAAATACTTACAAAATTGGGTTTGTATTGTTTGTTTGTATTTATCAAACGGAAAAATGAGAAGACGAAAATATTCCGAATAACGGAAACTTACCATTGAGTGTGTTGAGTTGTGTAATAAAGATACACTTTGTGTATTGAAATATGTGTTTTATATATTTTGTGCTAAACATACCTTAAAGTTGTTTTCCTTTAAAGTTCATTTCCTTTAATGAACATTATTCTGTTACTCAATGCGCCTGAAACAGTTATACAAAATCACCATTAACATCTATACAGAAAATACAACAGCTTATGACAGGTCTAGAAAGTGACGAAAACACCAAATTGTTCATCTTTCTTCATCTTGTTTCAGTCGAGATAACTCTACAAGTATAAACGTCAGTTTAAACCTAAATCCACACTGTTTTTGGGCAGTGCAAAATGTCGTCACTTAGTCGTAATAACTAGTAGTAATTAAAAAATTTATAATTGTAGTATAAACAATATTATCGTTACCTCTTGAAGTTAGCTTTTTTTACAGAAATATGGCGTTCCTTTAAAAAGCTCAAGTACAGGGTGAAACAGCAATTACCAGCCAATAAAAGACGAACATTAGATGACTATAACATGTAGATACTCAATGCTTTGTACACCATACAATCGGTGTCTTTAGGGAGCCAACCCCAATATCATGTATGAAGTGAATGAGTAAAAAAGAATCAATACACATAATATTAAATGTTATTACACATATTCACAGAATACACTAACTTTCAGCCAAGGTAAAAAAGTCACAAAACAAGTAATAAAAAGGTTTTGTAAATAAAAAAGAATGTAAGAATGGTAGTGCCAAAACGAATGCAAACAAGGGATGATACAGCTATCATCCTTACATGACTTTTAATATCAAAATTTATTGCTACACTGTAAAATGTATACTTAACTTTAATATTACTGCAGTTAGAAGTTATATATTCCTGACTGTTGATATGCAGTTTGTTTATCATAATATCATGGTCAAGTCAGGGTAGGCATCAATGTAGTGTAGCTTAGGGCTTACGGAAAAGGAAAAACAAGTTGAGTCAAAACATGTCTTGTTTATTACAGACTCTCGCTACGAGGTCGATCGAATTAACCGACCTCGTAACCATTTTATTCTCGTATATTTTACAGTGTAACACTAAATCTTAATATTTAAAGTCATGTAGGGATAATTATGTATAGCTGTATCATCCCTATATTATTGTTTGCATTCTTTTTGGCACTGCCATCCCTACATTATATTACATCTAGAAAATGTTCTTCATTACTTGTACACTGTAGGAAGTGTGGGGTTGTGTGTGAGGTGGGGCAGATTGTTTCTTACTAATTCAGAAATCAGGTAATAAATGAGGTGCTTCTAGACTGAGACAGAGTCAGTCCCTTAACGCTACTGATTATTATTATTATTGGCTGGGTAATTAAGATACAGTAATGGAAATTATTGTTGAAACAAATACATATACAAGTGTCCTAAACAACGGACAATAGCATCTACCACTGAACTTATTAATGGTACAAATCATTATCATAGAAAATACAAAAGAAAAGTGAACAAACTGTACAGTGTACTAGTATTTTGTATGCGAGCCCTAGTTGTACAAGACACTAGTATTTTGTCTGTGAGCTCTACTTGTACAGTACACTAGTATTCTGTATGTCAGTCCTAGTTGTCCAATATACTAATATTTTGTATGTGAGCCCTAGTTGTACAGTACATTAGTATTTTGTGTGTGAGCCCATTGTATTACTTCCCACAATTCAGCTATTGTTCCCACTGTCATGTATTCATATATTACTTCCCACAATTCAGCTATTGTTCCAACTGTCGTGTATTCCTATATTACTTCCCACAATTCAGCTATTGTTCCAACTGTCGTGTATTCCTATATTACTTCCCACAACTCAGCTATTGTTCCCACTGTCGTGTATTTCTGTACTACTTTCCACAATTCAGTTATTGTTCCCACTGTCATGTATTTCTGTATTACTTCACACAATTCAGC